AAAGCGCAAAGTGCGTGCGGCATTGTCTAGCGACCCACGATGGCCCACATTTTCCCGCCGCCGCTTTCCACTTTTCCACATTTCCACTTGACTTGCGGCGTCTACGCGAGAGCCTGATTGCAAAGCAACCGAAATTGAAGCGCACTCAAAACTTTTTTCCTGCCTCAAAATCAAAAAGTTTCGCTTCCCCAAAAAAAGGGGAGTGAGAGGTGGCTGGCTGCCTCCTTCTTTTGAAGGGGTTAATACAGTGGTTTATCAGTAGGGCGTTCTTATCGTTAAAAGGATTCTCCAGAGAGAAAACTTTGACGTCAAAAATTTAATTTGATTAATTATGCCTTTACGTTTTTGATACTTTAATGACGCTTTCGTTGTTTTTCATAGAATGTTCATAATTCATTTACCACCAATTAAAATTAGGTAAATTAAATATTTAACTCAATTTAGTTTAATTAGTGGAATTAATTGAGATAAATTTAAACATTCATTTTAGAGCCAAATACAAATTAACCTGTTAAATTTTGATCCATTTTTGTTGTATAAAAAGTTGTTATTTAATCGATCGATCTATTCCTTATTTTGGAGCAAAATAAAGAAATAAATTAAATTTTTTTAATTGTTTAAAATAGTTTGGTAAAAAAAATTATAATTAAAATTTAATATTAAAGTCTTTAAATTTTTACCTTTTGGATCCATATTTAATAAATAATAGTTAAGTTTGAAATGTATATATGTTTTAATTTTCAGGATAATTGTGGCATATAATTAAATGTTGTATCTAAAAGTATGTGTTTTTCTTGCTTTACTGTAGTGAAAGTCGTAGGTCGTAGCTGCATCTTTTGTTTGAGCAGTACCAAAAAGTGCAAGTGCCTCAGCTGGCGGATGAGGATGTGGATGTGGATGTGGATGTCGATTTGCTCCTTGTGCTCCTGCTGATGTTTCCACTGAGGTTGCTCCTGTCATGCATGCTAAGTTTCTTTTTATTCAAAAATGTTTGTGGGCGTCTTTGCAGTTTTCTTCTTTCATCTTACGTTGCTTCTGTTTCTGCTCCCAGCTTTTCCATCCAGCATTTCCATCCCCGCCGCTGTTCATTTTGGGCTGCCGCAAACGCAGCACGCACTTAACTTTGCCAGCTACCACAATGCTGCGGTGAAACTCATTACGAGCTTAGAATGCAAAAAGCGAAACCCCAGACCCCTCAAAACTGCAGTAGCAGGGCAACAAAGTCTTCTCTAGACACCAACCGAACACCCTAAACACCCACTAGCACCCCCATCACATCACAGATTTTGTGTTGTTTGCTCAAGTTTTATATAAATCTTAATGAAGGCAAAGAAATCGAACCGAGCTAATGATGTGTAAAATAAAACGCCGGCCGCAATTTAATAAATAAATTGGATAAATAATTTACCTCAAAGGAGAAAATCCTTTATAAATGATTTATTTATTTATGGACTCTGGGGCTTTATTTAAATTAAAGTAAAGGAAAACCTAGTTTATACACTGAAAAAAAAAAAAGAGTTTGTATTTCATATTTCAATAAACACGTAACACATAATACAAAACATATAAAAAATATAAATTTCGATCATTTTTTCAGTGTACATATTTATTAAAGCTTACAAAATATTCCATAGAATTTAGGTTGGCAATTTGAAAGCGTTTAATATTTTATTGGGTCAGTAAAAAGCATTTTAATTAGCCTCGCATGTTTTCACTCAGCTTTTCAAGCATATAACAAAACAATGACTTCAAAAGTGAACAATAGAAGTAAAATACAATGAGCTTAGCTTTTGGGGCTGCGACTCAAATTTCACTCTTGAATAGCTTCTTAATTCTGGAAAATTTTTCCTCTTACCTTCTCTGCAAAAAGGACAACAATACGAAATATTTGTGGAATTTTAATTGTTTGCTCTATTATCAAATATGCAAATCGTATTACTAACAAGTGAGACTTTCGAGCTTTCGCGCATGTTAATTAAAAAAGAACCAAACAAAAAACCAACCAAAAAAACCCCGCATGAAGGTATGTCAACAAAACTAATCAAAGAAAATCTTTTTTAAAAGGAATGTCTCTTGCATGAAAATTATTTACCAAAAAATATGAGACGACAAAGTTTTTAATAAAAAGAAATGCGAAACAATTTCTGCACTTTGACAGCAGCAACATGAAATGCAAAAGCAGCTGCCGCCGCAACGACAACTGTCTCAAAGACAGCAGAGTTTCAATTCTAAGAGGAGAAAGCCAGTTTCGGTGGGGGGAAGTGGTGGAACCGGAGGAGTTGTACCAGGATCCGGAGTTGGACCTGCAACAGTGCGACGACAAGTTTCTTGGGGTCCGCCAATCGTGGCCGAAACGGATGTGGATTTGGCCAACAGCAGCGGCGGCGGCGGCAATGGAAATCGCAAAACGGGCGGCAAACAAAACGGATACCATGGCGTCAATAGACGGGCCACCACCACCAGAAACTAAGGAAAAAAACCAAAAAAAATGTCACAAAAATCCAACGAGACGAATGCAAAATTTGTGCCAGAAAAGATGTATAAAAGCATAAATATTTAGGCGAATTGATGGCAAGACAACAAGACAACTGGGCTAAAATAAACAAAACAAAGCACAAAAGGCAGCAGCAGCAGAGAGGCGAAAAACAAAAGCAATTTGTATAAATAAAAGCAAGTCAAAAGTGCGACAGAGACACAAAGGCAAAAAACAAATAATATAAATTGAAAAGAGGCAAGTCCTTGCGATTCTCGTGTATAAAGAAAACTGTCTGCCCATCGACATGAATATTCCCCAAAAAATGAAATAAAATGCGAGAAACTTTTTGCATCAAATTTAAACAAACGAAACGTAGCAACAACTTGATCAAAAAATGGCAAGGAATTTAGAATACATAGTGTGCAAAGACAAAAACCAAAACTATTTTTAGAATTAGTTAGAAAACTGCTTTAACCATTCCATTTAAGAATTTTAATTGCATTGCAATTTTTAATAATTCTTAAGAACTTTATTTGTTTAAGTAAAGTATTTTTGTGTAATTTAAATCAAGCAAATGTGGAGAATGAAGTGTCCACTTAAACACAAACCATTTGTAAACTCATAAACTTAAATGTAAAATTGATAACTTTAAAGTTAAGCTCGAAAATTGCTTTTGCCGGTTCGCAAAAGTTGCCTCCATTAAGTTTTAAGAATTGCATAACTTTCATTCTTTCCCTTTTTGCAATTCCCCTTTTATTTTTTGTTTTTTGTAAATTCCATTCTTTACTGTGTGATATACGAAGGTAATAAAAGTTCTTTGGCCAGGAAATGAGAACACAACTTTAACTTGTTTCATATTAAATGATGAGAAATTACGCAGAATAACTCGCCCATACATCAATTCATTTAAATGCGTTTATTAAAAAACTTTTGCAGCAGCAAAATGCTGACGACAACAAAATTGTGAAAACCGGCATCATCGAGATTGATACAACAACAAGGAGGAGCGTTGAAGTCGGAGAAGATGGAAAAAGTAAAGCTCACATAATGGCACTTCAATATGTGGAGGGAAAAACTAAGGGGAAAAGTGAAGGGGAAAGCGGAGATATAGTGTGTATTATGGGGGGAAAGTGGGGATTTTAGGGAGGCGGAGGGGCGATAGACGGTTACCAACAGCTTGTTAGTGGCTTTGTTGGTCAGTACTTTTAACTAATGTGTTTTGTGCGACCATAGAAAATCTCAAGTACTCATAGACGCACAGACACACATGCAGTGGCTCCCCCTCACATATTTGATGTACTTAACGTTTGCACTCAAAGAAAATTGCGATGATTTAAAACAAGATACTTCTTAAATCAAAAATCTTATTATTTAATTTTTTAAATCTACTACTTAGTGATTCTATATTCTGTTTAAGTCAATATTTTTTTAGATCTGCATTATTTAAATCAAAGAAATAGTTTTCTCATTTTCACAGCGTACTTCTAGGAACTTTAATAAATGATTTTAAAACAGAAAAGAATGAAACAAGAATTATTCTATCCAAAAACATTTTTTAAGTCCCGGTTCTTAGCACAACTTTACTTTAAATTACTGAAACTCTTTAAAAGTTTTTTAAAATGTTAACCAAATATTTTTCTGAGTGCACTTTCTCCAACTACACTTATTTTGAAGGGTGCTAGCGGAACCACAAAGGGTGTGCATGTGTGTTTGTGTGTGGAAAATGGGAGCTTATATAGCTAGTCTGGCGCTGGGCTTCCCTTGAGCTTCTTCAGTTTCGGCTCCCGCCTCCTGCATAAAATAACCGCATAAAATGTCGTTAAGTATAACGAAATTGAGTCTGCACATAAATTCAGATTATGAGATTAAAATGTTGTGATTTTCGCACATAGCAACGAAACGAAAGTCTGGACCGGCCAGAAAACCCTTTTTTCTTGTTGTTGGTTGGTAATGAAACCCAAAAACGAACGCCAAATATTTCGGATGGAGAATGCGCTGGAATAAGGCAATAGCCGACCCATCAAAAGTGGCAACAACATCAACAGCAGTCAAGCCAATGTAATGAGTTTATATCGCCCTTTTGCCCCGAAGCATAAATTTATGGAAAAACAACACGTCGGAGGAACAGTGGAATAAATCATGCGAGATTATTTAAATCAGATTACAGAGGTTTTTCAGAGAATTTGACAAACAAGTTATTGACTAAATGAATATAATTAAATAGCTAATGCATTGTTTAGGAATTTTTGATAAATATTATTTTGAAAAATATATTTTCTTTTTCAAACTATTTAAAATATTTATTTTGACGATACCTAAAATATAAAAAGTATTAAAATTTTATTTAGTTTTGATATTTTAGATAATTAATTTTTTGATTATCAAAGATATTTTATTGAATAATATCCTACCAAAATGTCCCTACATCCTAATACTCTTAAAATATTACTAAAAAACTAATTTGAAAGCAATAATTTAGCTCGCCTTAAATCAATTTCATTCCACTGTTTCGCCTGACGAATAATAAAGAAGTTGAGGTTGTGGCCGGCGATCAAAGTCAAATATTTGGCTTGAATGTTTACAAATTGGGTCAGCTGGTCATTTGGCCTGCCCCTGAGCCAAACAGCTCCTCTTCAAAATGCCCCCGGCGACGAGTGTTTTCAACCCGTTTTCGATGTGAATTTCCCGAAAAATAAAGACCGTGGATCTCAGCTGTCGCTTCATTATGACGCTAATTGCCAGGACACGATGGCCGAAAAGGATTAGCTACATGTAAAGTGTACCGCAGAAACCAGGACAAGAACGAACATGAAAAAGTAAGACCCATAAACAGTTTAGTTCGACTTAATCCGGTTATATATCCAGATTAGCGAACAGGAGTGCGACGAAGGAGTAGAGTATTTTTTCTCGCTATTCCCAAGAACTTTACGACACTTTTTAGGTAATGAATGGGACGACACTTTTTTTAATCCACTGCCAGCCGCGAGCAGTAAAAAAATTAGTGACAAAAAAAAACACGCTGCATTCAGGTCAGAAAACCGATTGACCTGCGGTACTTTGGGTCTCATGAATGGGCAGGTCGAAAAAAAGGATTGCGTATAAAATAAACGAGCAGCACTGACGTAACCAGCAAACGCAATCAGGCAATCATCGAGTCAAGATGTGTCTCATCCAGCAGAATAAGGAAGTCAAGGAGAACTCCCAGGGGAATCCTGCCCAGAATTCGGGAGAATCGCCACCAAAGTCACCCACTGCCGCATATGCAATGTTCATGCACCGCGAAGAGTTAAGGAGGAGAAAAATCCATGTAACCCGGGTATCTACCACCAAAATTCACTTGACCAGCGAGCTAATCGCTCGAACTAAACAGAACATCCGGGAATGCAGCTTCGAGGATTTGGAGATTTTGGCCCGTGAGACGCTCTTCAAGAAGAATCTGCAGAGACATTTGTACTATCGACGCATGCAGATCCATCAATATATGATGAACAAGAAAAAACAGCAAGCTAAAGAGAAAAAGTGAATGAAGATATATAAATTTAATTAATTTAAGAACAGCAAACGTGATTGTTATATAAAAATATATTATAAATATAAACTAAGATCAATAAACTCTAAAAGACTTACCATAAAAATTTAAAATATTACTTTGAATTAATATGAATGAAATTTACAATTTCTTTTCAGATTAAATATTTTTTAAATCAATTTTTATTTATCAAGATAAATCCAATATTATTGTTTTCTTTATTTTTTTATTAACAAATATCACCATCATAATGAATGAGAATAAATATTTTAGTTCAGTTTTTTCCTACTATTATTAATTTTTTTTTGTATTTTACAATCATTGTATTTATTTAGATTAAATATTTTTTTACCATTCCCATTTTCTACCTTAATAGACAGAATCTTGTTTATATAGTTAACATATTGCGAAAAGCTAGAAAAATATTTTTGATACAATTTTCATTTCTAAAATCACTGTTGAATAAAAGGACAATCGAATTAAACATTTATTTAGCTACCCCAGTGATTTAAAGAACACTCTTAAAACTCGTAAATATAATCGTTTCCATTTGAAACGTCCACATCCATTACAATCAAGAATATGAGAGATCTACCAAAAGATAGTGTTTAACCAAAAGGTGAAACTTAAATTAAACTTCAGTCATTTGTAAAAGCGGAGCAGAGAAATCAGGCAATATGCCCCTCACTTTCACGTCTTATCTTTGGTCCCGGCAAAAGTGCAATTTTCCATTTAAATATTTGATTATGTATACGTATATTCCCCAGTCGTAATTGTCAGGAAGACCCAGTTGAGTGTCGGCGTCGACCTGCACTTGTAAATGGGTGTAAAAACAAATTTGCACATGATTACCAAAAAAAAACCCGGTCTGCAAAACTGCGAACATTTAATACAACTCAAACAAAATGGGGCGTTGCATAAATTTGAACAGGCGGGGTGTAGAAAAATATTCTTGCCTTTTTAGACTACATAAATTTTAATTAAATGTCACTCATACGCCATGTACGCCAAGCACAATGTGGAGCTGAGTTTGAGTGCGTCTATGTGTGTGTGTGCGTGCAACGGAGTGGTGCTGGTGTGATAGTGTGTATGTGAGTGGTGCGACAAATGAATGCACATGAAAGTGGTGCACAAATTACAGTTTATTGAACGGCAGCAACACCAACAGCAGGAGCCTGTGGAAAGGACAAAGGACGAAGGACAATGGCGACAAGAGAGTGGAGCTCATCCAAAGCGGAGAGTAAAAACAAAAGCAGGACACCAAGGAGTCTGGAATTTTTGCAGCTGCGTAGCTTTTCGCAATTTTCCCGGAAATTTATTTTATGGTTATTACCAAATAGTTGTTATGAAAGTGGACTTGTTTTGAAGTCCTAAATAGGTACCCAAAATTTAAAAATTTTTAACCCAATGATAGACATTTGAAATCATAACTAATTATTATTTAAAAAAACAAAAAAAAAATTGAATTATAAAGTAATGACAAAAATTGTACTTTTTTAAAATGCGAAAAAGATTTTTTACTATTAGAATTTTTAAATTTTGTTCTTATTAATATTCAGTAAATATTTTCTTAAAATGTAATAACTAACATATATTTCTAGGATTTAAATGTTAGCCTTTATCTTGTTTGTTTGTTCATGAAATTCTTTTTAATTCTTAATTAATATTTTCAAAAGATATAACGCCAAATATATTTATTTTCTTGCATAAAAACTTATATATCTTTAACATTTCAATTTAAACCTTTACTTTTTTTCATTTAGAAACAAAGATTAACTTTATTAATTTCATAAAATCAATGTAAGCCCAATTCCAAATACAGAAAATGGAAAATAGAAAAGGAAAGGAAGCCAATTGACAGGGTTGCTTGGCAGCTAGCACTAATTATTTTTTTCGCATATATTTTTTTGCATACTTTTTTGTGTGTCTAGCATTTTGTTTGTTTCCATTGGTTGCGAATCTGTGGCATATTCTTTCTCCTGCAGTTTCATTAAACTTTTACAGCATGCATTATTCATGATCAACAACAATTGCCATGGTCCAGCATCAGCAGAAGTTTGGGGATAAGGAAATCTCCCCTTCCTAGTCCCTGTGCTTAATGAAAAACCATCAGGAGGAACAGAACATCATCTTTCGCTGCCATTTGCCACTCGAAACTTTTTCAATAATTTTAACATATGTATGCGCACCACTCCGCTTTCTTGACAAATTAACTCAAGTGCGCAATGAAGTGTTTATTGTGCTGGAAAAACTTTTTTCGTGACGTCCATACTGAACTTAAGGCGTTGTCAGGAAAAAACCAGGATATATGTAAGGATATACTTATGTTTACACACAGATTTTTGCCAACAATCGAGCGGAAAGTGATGGCATTTTTAAACGTTAAAAATAGCTGAATGTAACTTAAATAATAATAATTAATTTAGTTTAGTTTAGTTTTTATTTACTGAACGTTATATCATATTTAATGACTTTAAATATATTTATTCTTTTTTTGTTTAAATTAAATCATTTGCTCCTATTTAATTCTTTGTTCTTTTTATATAATTAAATTAAAAAATATACGGGACTTACAGTTAAAGATCCATAATATTTTAAAATTCTTTAACTAATATTTTTTAAATATTTCGAAAACATTGCTAAATTGTCATCACTGTTAAATGAAAGCAGTGGCAGAACGTAATCGTCATGGTGGCTTAAAGCAATTTGTTATTAATTTCCGCGTTGAAAAGTTGAAAAAAGGCGAACTTTTTCTTTCCTTTGTTTCGGTTCTCTTTCGCTTTTCCCCTATATATTTTTCCGAACTTTCCTTCTCTTTTCCTCTGCCTCATTGTCTCAATGCCACTTGGCATTCATTTAATGCGAAAAGTTATTGTCGTTTTTTCGTTCTTCATGTTGTTGTTGTCGTTTGTGTGTTGCCACATTAAAACATGGCCCATAATGGTTAACAAGGCATTTGCTTGTTGACCATCGACCAAATGAGCAGCAAAACTTGTGCTTACATTGTTCAACATGTGTAATAAATATATTTTCACCGCCACCCTTCCAAAGTGCGTGAATGTATGTATAGGCGATGGTGGGTGTGTTTAAACGCGTTATGGTTATGTCTATACATGAATATTAATATTTGAAATTTTAAAGATCAATATATACATTTTTACTCCAGAATTTATGAAGTTACACTAATTTGTATGTACTAAAACAAGAAAATACTACTTTTTTTCATTTTGATTACAATTAATTTTATTTTATTTTTTTTATTAAATTAGCGACCATTTTATAACTATTTTTTAATCTCTTTTATTTTCTGATTTCTAACTACGATTTTTTTTTGTTTGTTTATAGTATTTTATTAAAAGTTGGCTTTTTTTTTAATCTGTTTCATTTTATAATTGTTACATATGAATTTTGAAATTTCTTTATTTTATTAATTTTAGTTACTTTATTATTGCTAAATAAATACTAAAACATATCATTTTTCTGTAAAATAAATAAACCAATTCAAATTAAATTTTTGAAAATATTACAAATTCCCCATAAAATCATTTCCAACATTTTACGAAATATTTTTCCCCGTGCGGCAGGTAATAAATTGTAATATTCCATCTTTGGATGATGACTTGCCAAAGTACATAATACAAACACATTTCGAAATGCATGCGCCGCGGCATATGCAATGAAAAATGCCAGTATAACAATGTTAATATGGCTGCCAAAAGGATCCTAAAAGGGGGAGGGGGCGGGGGAGTTTGAGGGGCTAAGGAAGTGTGTCAGTGTCAGTGTGCTGCATGAAAGTGCAAGTTTTGCTTATTGTTTCCACCGCTGCCACTGCCACCGCTGCTCCAGTGGCAGTAACCTTCAGCCAAGAACAATAAAATTGCACGAAAATGAAACTGAAATGGGTCTCCCATGCAAATGCGAAATGGAAAAGTATGAAAAGCGCAGGCAGCAGTGAATTCCAGGGAAAAATAAACATTTTAAATGCTTTTCTGTGCAAACCAGCGGTGAAAAGTATGACAGTTTTGTGATCTACTTTGATGTAACTGAGTTTGTTTGGAATTGAAAAAGTTTAATTACAAATAATCTTCTTTGTTGATACTTTGCTAAGACCTATTGGATATGTTTAATTGTTAATAGTGCCGAAAAAATAGTTTATAAATTTAAGAATCATATCCAAAACACTTTAAATTATTTATTTAGTTTTTAAGGATTTTTTTTATTTTTAAAGTGTTTTACTTAAGTTGGATTTTAATTTTTTCATATCATTATTTTTTTTAGGATATTATATATCAAATATTGTCAACGTTATTAGCCTCAGTTGTTTAAAAATAAACTAATATTCTTCGAAAATATAAAATTTACCTTGTTAGGACATTTTCAGAGTGATGATTCCCCTTTTTACCCAAATGTCCTCCAACGGGATTATGCAAATGCATCTCTGCCGCTTGGCCAACACATTTGCACTTGACTGAAACGCGTTAGCCGCTCTCCTAGTAGATGATTTTTGGGCAGATGCTGATGTGTTGCCCACGCCTCCATAGTTTGGTGGGAAAAAGAGGGGGGAGGGGGTTGGGAAATCGGGGACATGAGGTACAAGTTTGTGAGGCTGATATACAAAATGCTGTGAAGTGACTGGCGGGTTTCGTGTAACCAAGACACCATCCGGGGACTGACGTGGCGCCTTTGTTGGCCAAAACCTTGGGGCAGGGCAGCAAAATGGATTTTGGACGGGGTCCCAGGCAGGACATGCTCCGCAATCCGGAATGCAATACAGGAGATGCACATACAAAGCACTCACACACACCGGGGTACACTTAGAGAAATTCAATTGAGCTTTAAGGAATTTTCCAAAATAAATTTTGTACTATAAATAACAAGAAAAGTCAAAAAATACTTAGCCATACTGTCCATGTTTAGAAAATTACAAAATGTTTTATAACACCGAAATAAATTAAAACTAAACTATTGGCATGAGAACTTTTTTTCTATTTTTTTATTTACAATTTTTGTTTATTTACAAATTTGGTAAAATTAAATTGATTTTTTTTCGTCCCTCAATTATTTAATAGATATTTATAAAACGCTTAAATATTTTTGTGACTTGGCTCTCCACATTATTATAATACTATATTATTTACGTATTTACTATTTACGTATTCAAGGTCAAATTAAGGGAATCATTTTTAGGTGTACACTTTTCATGTCAGTTCAGTGCATTTATATTAACAACATAAAGTGCCAAATCACGACAGGTGCCAAAATCCCGTAGAAAAAAGGAAACCAAAATAAACTTTTGCCAGCAGCACCAAAAGAAGCTTGAATAACCGCCATTCACCCCGTTTCGTACCCTTCTCTTCTATCTCTCAAAGCCTTTAAATAATTATAAAACTTTATCTCTTCTCTGGACACACAAACACACAAACATGAACCTCTCACTCTACCGTCCATGATGTCCATTGAACGTCACTTTGACTAAAAGCCAAATAGAATTAAACCCTGAAAAATATTTGATCTAAATTCCTGAACCCTTCCCCGCTCTTCCGAACCTCCCGTTGCCATTTTCATGCCCAATCTCCCCCAGAAAGCGCAGCAGCAGCAGCCACAGGGACACAAATCCCGCCACAAAGCGTCCGATGACACCGAGGATCCAAAGCAGCAGGAAAAGTCCTTTGATGTCGTCGCCACAAATGCCAATGCGCGAACAGGGTCCACCCTAACAGCGGAAAATCCAGAGGAGCCGGGGGGAAAACAACCACCCCAACCCCCAGTGGTACCGTTGCGTCGCCATCACTCGAAAGTGACGCCCCCGACGACGACGCTTTTCCTGGAAAACTCACTGCTGCAGCGCCAGTTCGCGAATCCAATTAGTTACTTGGGTGGACCACGACTGCAGCCGCGCAGTAATCGCACCAGCATCGAGTCGATATTATCGCTGGATTAGCGCCGCAGCCAGTTTTCCACCCACCTACCCCTAACTCACCCACTCTATGGAAAGCCTCGCAGACTAGTCACAAACTGTCAACTGGTGGGTGGGGAAAACCCTAAACCCCCCAGTGGATTCTTTTTCCCGATGCCACAACCTCAACTCTGGAACTCTATGTAGGTTAGAAACTTTAAAGATTGTTAGTTAGCCTTAGTGAAAACACAAATACATTGATAAACTTAATTGATTTCTTTACTTTATTTAAACGAACCAAATAATTTGGAATATTTAAAGTAAGTAATAGAAAAGTTTTAAAGCATACTGAATGTTGCTGATAAGAACGCTTGACACAACGGACGAATCTATTATAATTATCATAAAACGGGCATATATTTTATTAAAACTGAATTTTACATGGAAGAATTTTAGAGTTCAAACCGTAAGAGCTAAAGCAACCATAGTATTTAGTAATAGTTTCTATAGGAGACCTTGATGATCTTGAATTATTCATGATTGAAGAATAAGTTTACAACATTTTATACAAAATTTTAATTTTATTTTAATTATTTACGTTAATTTATCTGATTGGCAGATGAAAGACACTCTAAGGTTACACCACATATCAAACATATCTTCAAACGACAATAGAACGCAGGCTTTTCCCAAGGCGGGTTGTCCCTCTCGCCATTTCAAAGCAGTTGCAGGCTTCCCGGAGGCTTCCGATATGAACTGGCCATCGTTGATTCAAGTCCAGTACCACCAGTTCTCATCGAGCTTAAGTTTCGCTTGGACGGCTAAAATCTCCTCCTGGGTTTTGAAAGCCGCTAAATAGCCGCCCATTTGACGGCAGATTGAAGAAGCCTGAGTCCAATTTCGGTAAATATCATGTTCGATGTAAAAATATCTATCGCCAATCCGCTCGAATCGACTTGGAGGTTCTATACTAAATTCTAAATCCGCCAAGGATCCATGAAAATCAAGGATAATGAAGGCTAGCCCAGAAAAATATGCCAATTTCAGCATTTTAAATAATTAAATGCACTCGAAGACAACTTGTTAAACGTACTGAAATAAATCTGGATGTTTAGAAACAATGAAACCAAAAATATTGCTGATAAGCTTGCTTGACTTATAACACCACTACGACTAAGAATACGACTAAAACTTATATAAATTTTATATATATAAAATATATATATTTTATAAAAACAGAATTTTTTAGGGAAGAAGTCCTTGATGATCTTAAATGATTCATGATTGAATAATAAGATAACTAAATTTGATAAAACAAATTTTACTAAGTATAATTTTATTTGAAAAATGTTTGCAGTAAAAGAAAAATTGACAAGTTCAAAATCAAGTATACAGCACAGAAATCTTAGTTTCTGTAATCTATTTACGTTAAATTATCTGATTGACAAATGAAAGGCTTTTGAGTTAAACAAGTCATATCAAGCATATCGTAGCGTGACAGTAGAACGCAGGCTTTATCCAAAGAGGGTTCCATCTCCCGCCATTTCAGAGCAGTTGCAGGCTTCCCGGAGGCTACAGATATGTACTGGCCATCCTCTTCCAAATCGTTGATTCCAGTCCAGTACCACGAGTTCCACGAGTTCCTAAGTTTCGCCTTGACGGCAGAAAGTTCCTCTTGGGTTTTAAAAGCCGCTAAATAGCCGCCCATTTGATCACAGATGGTTGCAGCATCATCCCAAGTATATGAATTTTCATGTTCGATATAAAAATATCTATCGCCAATCCGCTTGAATCGTTTTGGAGGTTTTGTACCAAATGTTGAACCCGCCAAGGATCCATGCCAAGCAAGGGTGATGTAGGCTAGCGCAGAAAAATATGCCAATTTCAGCATTTTGAATAATTTAAGCCAGTCGAAGACAAATTGTAAAACGTACTGAAATAAATCTGGCTTTTTAAACACGAAGAAACCAAAAATATTGCTGATAAGCTCCAAAGATTAAGTCTGACCCAAGCTCTTACGTATTTATAAGTATTTATTGGATTAAATTAGTTTCTGCTTGATTCGCCACATTGGATCGCTTAAACGTAGGCATTAACTTTTGCTTAGCTTATACACACTTTTCTCGATCAGCGCAGATTTTTTGACTTACAATAAATTGTATTTTTTTTTAGCTTACGATGAGTTTAAGTCCCGCCCACTGATTACTGATTTATGCCCCCTCGTGGAAAGCTTACTCACTAAATGGGAGCTGATAGCAGGGGGGCGAACTTATGAAGGGGCGGGCCTGGAGGGCTGGCTCAGGGGGCGTGGCTGGGCGAGGAGGGGGGCGGGATGAGACGACGCTAGGTGAAATCCGGCGGCTTGTACTTCGGCGGTCGCTTAATTGGCTTCTATAACCAATTGCGGCCGCCACGTCATATGTTGTTCTCCTTGGCGCCCTTGGCCCCGGCACCGGAACCCGATCCTGACCCAGATCCGGCATTAGCCGTCGCTCCGGCGTCATTATCGCTCTTGTTGTTGCTGTTGTTGTTGCTGGTGCTGTTCGTATTCGAAGCCGTCGATTCCTCGCCATCAGCGCCGTCACCTAAAAAGAGGATAATAAGATAATTAGTTGAATTTCAATATAAGTGGCTATCAAAATGGGGATAATAATACTTTCAAGTTTGGAAATTTTCAACTAAAAAAATACTTTTTAAAATGGTAATTTGCAAAAATTTTAATTTTCAATTTAAAGAACTCTTAAAAAACGCTTACTAAAATTATATTTTTCGTTAAAATAAAACAAAATTAAATTCGAACTTTAATAAGAAAATACTTTCTAAAATTTCAATTTTCAATTAAAACAACTATTTATTAAATTTTCAATTAAAAAAAATTAATTATTTAAAAAAATAAATAATTAAATGTTCAATTAAAATAATTATAATCTAAAACAGGGATTTTAAATTTAAAAAAAAACTTTTTATATTAGTAATTTGCCATTGAAAAAATTCCTTTTAAAATTGTAATTTTCAAAAATTCAAAAAAATTCCTAAATTGTAATTATGAATTTCAAAAAATGAGTTCCAAAATTTGTAATTTTCAGTTTAAAAAAACTATCCTGAAAAGCAATTATAAAATCAAATAAAAATACTTTTTAGAATTTTTAATAAAAATTAATTAGTTCATAAAAAACAGGCTAAAATTTTAAATTCTCAATTAAAAAAAACCTTAAATATTTCACCCACCCTTCTCCTTTTCGTCCTTGATCTCGCTGGACGTCTCCGAGGAGGCCTTGTTGCTGTTGGTGTCCTTGTCCAGGCGCGGTCGCTTCCGCTGGCCCTTGTACGTCCGGTTATCCCTCCGACCGCCCTCGCCCTCGTCCTCCGAATCGGAGTACTCGTTCTCCGGGACGATGCGCTTGTCCTTGTCGCTCTGCGGCAACCGATCGTCCTTGTCGACCTTGTCCTCGTCGTCGGACTCATCGTTGATGGCGTCCTCGGGAATGGCCTGGATCTGGACGCCCGGCGCGTGGGGCAGCATGCGCAGGTTCTCGAACAGGCGGTTCTTGATCTTCTCCAGGTACTCGGACGTATTCTGATTGGTCATGTTGCTGGGACTGATGTGCAGCTTGAAGTCGGGCCCGAAGTACTCGAAGTAATCGTTGTAGGGCAGTTCGTTGGCGATTTCCACGGCCAAGGCGACCGAGGTCTCGTACGTCCAGCAACGGGAAACGTTGCGAATGGTGTAGCCACCGCCGCCGACCATCAGGAACGGGAGGTTATACTTCTTCACGAACTCCACGCACTTGCCATGACCCTTGACGGTGAGATTGAAGCAACCCAGGCGATCGCCCGTCAGCGAATCGGCGCCACATTGCAGCACCACGGCCGCCGGTTGGAATGTCTCCATCACCTTGCTGATAATGGGCACAAAGATGCTCTCATAAGCATCATCATCCATGCCATCGCGCAGTGGGATATTCACCGCATAATACTTTCCCTTCCCGGCGCCAATATCCCGCAGATCGCCGGTGCCCGGGAAATACTCGCCGTACTTGTGGAAGCTCACGGTCATCACACGATCGGTGGTATAGAAGGCCTCCTCCACGCCATCCCCGTGATGCACATCGATGTCGATGTAGAGAACACGCTGGTGGTACTTCAGCAGCTCCAGAATGCCAAGCACTATATCGTTGACGTAGCAAAAGCCGGAGGCCTCCGATTTCTTGGCATGATGCAGGCCACCGCCCCAATTGATGCAGATCTCCGAGGCCTGTTTGTTCAGCTTGACCGCGGCCGCCACGGATCCGCCGGCGGACAGCTGGCAGAACTCGTAGAGGCCGTCGAAAACGGGACAGTCCTCGCCGACATTGAAGCGCTGCATCTGCTTGTTGTACTCGGACATGTTGTCCGGCCGGATGGATCGCAGGAACCGGACGTACTCGTCCGAGTGGAACTTGGTCATCTCATCGGCAGTGGCTTTGTGGGGACGCTGGAAAGGATAGTATTTTATTTAGTAAACTAGTGACTAAAAAATATGCATGTAAGATGGAGTTATAATGGGATGATGGGTATGATCTTAAGAGTGCTTAATCTGTGGAATTATTTTATTTATATGTTATTCAAAAAAGGAAGTGTTCTGAATTAAAGAAATTATGAGGTTTTGTTTACATTGAAAAAACTTTTCTTTGATTTAGGAAATTTACTTTATTAAAACAAAAAAATTAAATCTAATACATGTGTAGATGAACTCTTTAATTTGTAGAATAAATCAGTGGCTTTGTATTGACGTTAGAATGGGTAGTATTTTATTTAGTAAACTAGTGAACAAAAAATATATGTATACTTGAAGGAGTTGTAATGGGATGATTATCATCTTAAGAGTGCTTTTTCTGTAAAATTAAAAAAAATCCCTCTATATAGGGAAATGGTAAGATTTAGTAAATTTACTTTATTTAAAAAAAAAATTATTATAGATATTTTAGTAGAATAAATCACCACTTCCCAAAAATTTCTAAATAAATTTAAAGAGAAATATTATAAGTTGAAGAAAATTTAAATAAAATTATAGAACGATACAAGTTTTTAGCTTAAATTAAATTATAACATATTTTCATTAACTTATTATTTTTATCCGCATATAAGCGAAATACTTACATAAATCTCCATTTTCCTATAGAGCCCATAGTTGAGCAGCAGGTTGTGGGTCATGCGTATGCGGTGGGGCTTCATGGGATGGCCCTGGCCATAGTAGTAGTTACCAATGTCGCCTGCGGATGAAAAATCACAATTAATGGTGGCTTAAGAAAAAAAACAATTAATTGCCACGCTATGTGGAATACAAATTTTACGGCCACTGTCGGCGAGGCGTCTGTGCGGAGAGCGTCACTTTGCCCGAACGACCGCAGCGGTCGCACTTTCGCCCCGAACGAGAAGCAACAAAAACACAAAGAGGAAGAAGAGAGACGACCTACAGGTACATACACGCACACACAGTCGCACTGCGGTCGCTGCGGAAAAGTGCGCTGTGGACCGGAACGCGCTCGTACAGTCGCCGTAAAAATTGAAATTTGCAAAAATGCTATCATCTGATGTCGAGTGGATGCGGAAAAATCACAAAGTCGGCGCGGAAAACGAGACGCCTGCTTTACAGTTGCTAAATTCCTGCTTAGTAGGCCTTTTACTTGATTTAATCGTTTCAAACTTACTGTCGTAGTAGTAGCAAACGCGTTTTTTGCTGTGAGACTGCATTTTCCGGCGCTGTCGGCGGCCTTAGATCCCTATCAATTCGACGTCTGCCGGCTCGCAGAACCTTCTCTGTTGATCGGGGGGTGGCCCGAATATTTAGGAGATGTTAAAATTTGGCGCCGCCTTTTTTTGGCAATCCACAGCGAAGAGCACGAAAATATATTGTGGCAATTTTTGGTAGAGGAGAAACATCGATGCATCGATGTTTTAAAATTTTATAGAAACATCGATGTTTTTTAGCGACAATCGATGTTTCTCCACCTCTAATTTTTGGGCAACGTAACAAAACGTAAGTGTCAGTTGTACGTAAGTGTCAGTTTTACGTAACTACGTAACTGTCAGTTGTACGTAACACCGCTCTCCCGCTCTCCGTGGTTCAATTTGAGACTAGTTCAATGGTTCAGTTGTGGTTCAATTTCAATTGGTTCAATTTAGGGATGTAAGAATCACAATACATCGATACTTTATATCGTGGTATTTTTTCCATTGATAACGTTATCAAAACGTAAACGTCGTTTACATGTAAGCCATTTATGCTCATTTTACGTAGTACTTAAGTGTCATTTATGCTGGGAGAGAGAGAAAAATAGAAATAGATAAGAAAAAATTGTTTCACCCCATAAGGACTTCTACGTAATTGTCTTTATACTCATTTTTGCGTAGTAGGTAATGTTTGGCGCCTATTTTTGAGTCGCTTCGATAAACATCGATAAATTGTATGGTCACCCTACAAGGTACACCGGGTTAGCCGAGACGCGAACCACGCCCTGCGATCATTTACTAAGTTATCGGGATTTATCGAGTATTTTTGAAAACGGGCGCCAAAAATGGAGGTCCGCGTACAGTGTGACCAGGTGGGGCGATTGGGAAAACCCAACAGGGTTAGCCGAGACACCCACGAGTAAAGACAGCATTTTTTAGGACCTTTTGCGCTTTCACCGTCGGTCACTTTCGGAGCGAAAGAAAATACAAAAATTGAGATTTCCCCTCTCACTCTAAATTTCACCGCTAAACGACTCGGACGCGTTTTTCCAGCGTGGGCGATTTTCCTCCTCGGTCGGCGTTTTCGGCGGCGTTTCTTATCGACAAACAATAGCGACTAAAAGAGACGGAGTTTTCGTGCTGAATTAGGGGCGATTTTAAATTAAAAACGAAATTAATATTAATTAAAGCGACGAGTAAGTTTCCAACTCCCACTGTCCGAGTGTGCGTGTGTGTTTTTGTGAGTGTGTGTGACAAAAAAAAAGAGAAAGAAGATGTGGAGTTGCAGTGGAAACACAAACACACGCTCTCTCGCTCCGTCTCGCTCGCACGCACACACTCAGGGGGAGCGAACGGAGAAGTGGAAAAATTAAAACCGAAATAAAGTGACAAAGCGGAGTGGCTGAAGAAGAAACAAGAGAAAAACATAAACGCAGTGGACACGGCATTAAATTAAATATAGTTTTTAACTTCGGCTAAAATATCCTGCGCAGCTCCCCTCTCTTTGTGATTTCCTTCGGATTTTTTCTCTTTTTTTCCCGGAAGAGCCTGTCTCTCTCCCCCTCGCAGACCAACGCCTCTCCCTCTCCTCTCTCTCCTCTGCAACTTTCTGTTACTTTTTGTTAACTTCTCCCCTTTTTTTTTTGCCCGCAGGATATTTAAGACCTTTTTTTCGCTGTCGTTTAATTATAGTTTTTATGCCTCTCTCTCTCGCTCGCATCTCTTTCCAATTAGCGCCGAACTTCGGCGCAAAGTAAAAAGCAAAAATAAAAAAAATCTCATATTTGTTGTTTTTATTTGGCCCGCAGACCGTGAATTAAAAACAACATCAACTTTAACTACAGTGGCAGGCGTAACTGTAAAGTCCGCTTGCTTTGATAGCAAACAAAAAATCGCAGCAGTTTTGATTTATTCTAATTAAAAAAGGTAAGTGCGATAAAAAACCGGATTATAGCTCCTTTTCATTCGCACCTCCTTGGCCCGAAGTGCCGTTAAGAAGAGAAGCCAATGAACGCAAATAAGTAAACACGAAAACTAAAAAAACGAGAGATTTTTTGCTCTCCCGCTGCATTTCTATTTATGCTTTTGCTGCTGATAAAATGTACAGTGGATATTCGATACAGTAAAAAATATAATTTAAATTCAAAAATTAAATATATTGACATTTATTGTTTTTAAAATTGTTTGGTAACCCCAAATAAATTCCTAATTGAAATTGAGTGAAACAAAAATACAATTCCCAATTGGTAATTTATTTTGAAATTAAATATTGGAAAACATATACCCGCTTTAAATCAGATATCATAAAGTAAAATCTCTATTTTCAGTTCACCTTATCGAGTGTTCACTGTATTTATTTATTCATTGCTCCGGCTGCTGTAAAAAGTCAAAGAGCATTTCTGGTTGTTGTTGTTGTTGGTATTGTAATTGCCTTTAATTTGTGGAGAATGAGGGGAGGAGGAGCGAATGGTGGAGAGAGAGGAGGGAGTAGCAAATGAAGAAGAAGCTGAAGAGCAGCAGGCGTCGGCGCAGCAGCTGGCTCCTTCTCTTCCCATCTCGCTCGCTCTCTCTGATTTATCCGCTGTGCGCTATTTTCGGCATTTTGAGCTTATTTATTTACCTTTTGGTGGCTTGTTTATTAACCCCCTCCCCCTCTAAATCGCTCCATGTGCTTTGAAGTTCAAGCCACAAAATTTGTTTCTACTCTTTTTATTTGTTGTTTTATTTTTGGTATTTTTGTAGCTTATCTGTTGCAGTAAAGTTTTCCCCTCACTCCCAGAAAATAAAAAAACCCTTCAATTAACATTGCTGCCGTCTGTTTTCAGTCTCTGCTACTTCTCTCCCTTTTCTCCGCATTTCTCTCCTTTTTTTCTCCTTTTACTTTTTGTGGCCAGCCGCTGATAAAGACCACAAATAGTTTGTCTTTGCCTCACATTTTTTATTTACAGTGGCTATCGGCTAGAAGTTACTTAAAAAACAGGAAATTTAATTTCCTTATGTGACAGAAAATACATTTGGAGTTTTGGGAAATTCGAAAATTAAAAGAATTTCTTTGTATTAGGGTGGGTCAATTATTTAAAAAAATTTACATAAATTTTAACTTTAAAAGGTTTTTTTTCGGCTAGAAATTATTTTAAGAACATTAAATTTAATTTCCTATAACTTTTAACATTTTGAAAAATTCGAAAAATTAGAAAAAGAAACGTTGCATTTGGGTGGATTTAGTTCTTGAGAATTTAAAAATGTTAATGTTAATGTTAATCGTTGAGTACTTTTACCGTTATGCACTGTACAGATTTATAGCCGCATCTTCTGTTTTGCAGCCTCTTACTCTTTAACCCTTGATTGGTGAGTGGGGGTTTTCAATGGAGATTCATTTGAGTGCAACTGGGCAATTATGCTTTTTGGCCTCTGCCCGCTCTTATGACCCCTTTTCCGCCCCCCGTTTTAGCTCTTAGCCCCTCTCTTTTGACCCCCTCTTAAATCATTGCAAAATGGCAATCACAAAATGCTCTCAAACAAGTAAATCTGCTTAGCTCGACTAACGGCAAACTTGTTGAGAGATCTTTTCATTTCTCTATTTTGCTCGGAGTTTGTTCGTTTGTTGTTGTTGTTCTTTTTCGCATTTTCTATTTTGCACACAAAGCGTTTTACATGATACGAACGACGGCCACAAAGGCAAAAGGCAATCAAAAAGAGGTGGGGAGGAGGGTTGTGGGGGGATAGGGGGAGATAACACAGCGTGGGAGGTGCAATAAGCAGAATCCAACCGAATAAAAAAGTAGTCAAAGCAAAAGAAGTGGCGGAGGAAGAAGCAGCACAAGTAGAAAACTCAATTGTTCGAATGTTCGCTTTGGGCTCCTCCTTTGTTCCTTCTTTTCCCTGCCAGCTGTGCGTGTGTGTGTGTTTGTCCACTTAGCCAGCAAACAATGCACACAGCAGCAACGTTTTATTGATAAGAAGTAGAAAGGAAAGGCGAGAAGAGGGGAAAAGGGGGGTGGGGGTGGAGTGGAGGAAAAGTGGAAAGTGCGTGGCAAGTGCGACAAAAAAAGAATTATTGTAGAGATGATTGCTTGGGTGAAGAGAATTTAAAGTGGATTTTCCCTTTTAGTAACATTTATTTCTAAAAAAAATTCTTTGGGGTAATTTTTAAATGAAGCAAATTTTATAAGTATTGTCGGAACCCTTAAAAATTAGATAATTTAAAAAATAATATATTTAATAACATTTTTTTGTATACCTTTTGGTTCCAAATTTTTCGGAACTCTAAAAAGACAGATTCAATAATACCCCACCCCACAATTTTAACTTCTGTAATTTTATAAATTTTAATAATTAATAATTAATTTCAGAACACAAAGAAAATAAACTATCTCAAGGTATCAACTCCATTCTACGCAACAATTTCTCCTTCAACTGAATATTATCCACAATGTAGTCCAAATGGGGACCGAAAGTAAACAGCATTCTGTACAAACAGCGGTTTATGGCCATCTTCAAAAGACTATGAGTGGAGCACAGTTTTCCACGCTCCCTCACCTGCATTTCCTCGGCGGTGATCAACTTCTCCTCCATCTTCAATAGAGATTCAAAAATTTGACATAGATCGTTCTGGATATAGCCAAATATATCTTCTTTTAGGGATCGCACGCAAATGCAAACGAGTCCTTGAAGGACCCAAACCAGAGGTTCCGCACAACGCAACTCATGGTTGAGTTTAGCCAGAGGATCGGGATCGTAAAAGAAGCTATAGTAACGCGGAATTACTGGCAATCTGGACCATAAAAAGTTCCAATGGCTGAGAAACCTATCGCTTAGGTATTTTCGCAGATTGCAGAAACACCAAATCTGCTGCTCGGCCATTCGACATTGTGGAGGTCCTTTGCATATAGCAGAAAGTCGTCGTGGTGGAGGAATGGGTTTTACCAAGGATCGTAGACCCTCCTTCTTGGGAACTTGCTTCCTTAGCAACTTGCATACTTGTATCCTAGGAGCAGTCTCCAAACAGGATTCCATCCTACCCAGAAAATCATCCACCATTTCCAGTACAAAATCGCGTAATTCGTTCCAATTGACATTTCGCTTCAAACATTGCTGTTTGAATAGCTCACTACATAAACTTCCCGACATGGCTGCATAAAAGTCACGGGATGCCAGTAATTGAAATCCATACATTTCCGCCGAATCCAAGGCCATGGCAATTGGCAAAGAGAGGTTATAGCGTTGCGTATCCAATGGCATCGGTTTCATTCGCATCACGCAGAGAATATATTGAAGGCGTTCTATTATTTTCAATAGATTGATATCTAGATATTCATGCAGGCGCCTGGAATCATTGATTAAAGATAGTTGACGTTGCATAACCAGACCATAAACCTCTCGAACTATATGTAATTTGGCCAGGATCAAGGTGGACAGCAACCAAGCTTGAAAAAGTCGTGTTGGGTTCGTTATAATCACACTAAATCCCGTGAGGACTCCATCGATTTCGGTAGCTTCCAAATAACCCATGGATGGCCAGTAAATCAGGGAAAATAATAAAGTTGGAACGATAGCTTCTTGACCAGAACTTTTCAATTGGCAACACCAGATTTCTACAAGGCGTTCCTTTATATCCAGATGCACTATGGGTAATGGAAATCTTTTTAGGCACTTTCCATGATGCTTATAAAAATAGTTAATCGCACAAAAGCAGCCAAAGGTCATGAGATAATACCAGGATCCTCCCAATAAGTAATTTGCACCTTTCAAATCCACAAAAGATGCATATAACCAGGTGCTCAACACAGTTGTTGTGAGTATCCATGAAAGCAAGCCAAGTCGTATGGGAAACTCATGAACGATCCTCAATAGCTTGTATCTGTAGCATTGGGGTCTTGCATAGTGTACATGGCATAACATCAACCCATAACAAACCATACTCAATCGTATAAACAGCATTATTATCGCGGTATAAACCGAAAACAGGGTCCACCCTAAGATTTCATTTAGGGAAACCAGTGGTCTTCTCACCTCAAATAGATGGATGCACAAGAAAATCGCTAGCATTTGATAATCCAACCAAGAACACAGTAAGGTGGCAAATAGAAAGCGATAAAGCAATAGCTTCTTGATCTTTCTTGGTAGCGATAAGAAATATTGGGGCACATAGCCTGTAGTTTCGATCTTCTGTTCCATTTTTTTCTCTATACGGAGATTTGGGTAACAAGTTGATTTTATGTACTACGCCTGCTTGGCTTGGCTGCAACTTGTAACCTTCTTTCTATCAGTTTACTTGTCTCAATTGACATAGTTCTCAAGTCGGTTGGCCGCCTGGTCATCAATCTATTTAATGGGCTGCCGTTGACCCAACTTACGAGGGAGTCGAACCCACCCCTTGTCCTCTTTTTTGCAAAAGTTCAAAAGTTTTTATGCCAATTTAAAGTTTTTCTTTTGGTTACCCTTACATAAGGTTGTACCATTTTGGCAGGGGACTAGCAATCGCCAACACAACACAAGATTATCATTCAAAATCAAAAATGCATTTTTAAATTATTATACTAGAACATCTAGTATATACCTAGTATACTAGAATATCTAGTATATTCCTAGTATATCTGGTATATTTATTGAATTTATTTTCGGCAATTTGATAAAACAAATATTTTTTATAATTGAGATGAAATAACAAGATATATATTTTCATAAACAAAAGAGTATTTTCAGCAACAATTCCCCTAAGAAAAATTGTTCAACATTTCTGTTGCCTCTTTTTATTTTTTTGCTATGCAGGTGACAAGTCAGCTAGGACTAAGTGCAGCTAAAAATAAACTTTTTGCCGCTGCAGGCACAACATTGCATTTTGCAATTGTTTTTATTCGGTGGGCGACACTTTATTGGAGCTTTAGTCACCTGAAGGGGGAAATAAGAGAAGCTGCTCGCAGCTAAAGTTCTAATTTATGTCGTTAAGTTTTTTTTGCCTGCGAAAGAAAAGTTTGCAGTCACATTTAATGGTCAAAGCTACAGGCGCAATTTCCACCGGGAGGAAAAAGAGCGTATTTCGAACGGGAACTGGACATGGACATGGAAATGGACATGGTAGAGGATGTTACTCTGTTCCCCCCATTCCTTTTTTATTGTAGCTGTTTGTGTGTGACCGCCTAACCCAAAAGCTGGCCGGGAGTGGTGCGAGGCCCGGGGCCAATTAGATTTATGGGATTAGCACAGGTCGTTGGCTATAAAGCACTCGCATGCTTGCAGAGGGGCAAAATCAACGTGAAAATCGAGACCATGTGGATGAGGATGAGAATGAGGATCCCGTAGGAAACACACACGCCCATTCGCAAATGGAACCTGAAACGGTTCGTTATGTGTGAGCACTGAAGGAAATTATTGGGTACTGAAAAAGGGTTAAACATGTGTCCAGAATTTTAAAATAATTAAAAGTTAATATTCTAATAAAATCATATTTTATTTAAAAAAAAAACGCATTCAAACTAAAAAATTTAAAACAGACAAACGATCTGTATTTAAAATGTATTGTCAAATTTAAAAAGGAAAAACAAGTTTTCACATATATGAAATTCAATTATTTTTCCAAATATAAAAGAAAGATATTTTTTAGGTGTCACCTAAAATAGATCCAAAAGCAATCGGAATTTAATTAGCACAAATTAAACAGAGCTTTGTGTAATATTTTCTCTCTGCACACAGCAAACATTTTTGCATTGTTTGTCCTGTTGAGCTCCTCTTCTATCTCTCTCTGGCCATATATCTCTCCCTATCTCTCTGCACGCAGCTCCTGCATTTTCCAACGCCTCCCCCACTTACCACTCCCTACTTCACCGCTTACCTTCAGTGTGTTCAGTGTGCACATCCGGTGGGCAACAAAACATTGTTTCATTCCATAAACCGCCGCCAACTTTTGCATCGTTCGTCGTAGTCGGTCGGTGGTTGTTTCGCTCTCGCACTCGGCGGGCTTTGTTCCGGCTTTCCCTGGGTTCTTCCTGGTTCCCCCTTAACCACCTCCATTGAAACACACTACCCCCACGTCCTGTTTGCCTTGCCATTGAGAGGCCGCGACGATGACGCGTGCTCCTGGCCGATTCTCATTCCCCAAAACCACGTACCGCCGCACACATTTCCGGACTCAGCCGGACTTTTTTATACCCTTGAAGGAGGGTACAATGTTTTTTTCCACAATTCTTTGGATGATCCGGATTAAGGATTGCAAATATTGAATATTTGACACTATCGATATTTTCGATATTTTACCAATATCGTATCGATATTTGACAGAATCGATAGTTTCGATATTTTCAGAATATCGTTTCGATAGTATTACTATTTTCTGACGAGGGCATCTGAAACTTCGGTCCTCAAAAGCAAAAACCATTCGTTACTTCTTTTTCGTGTGTTCGATTGTGTGAGCTTCGGTGGTTGTTGCTGTTCCTATTTCGGCTTCTGTTGCCCTGTTGTGTTGGCTGGCTAGTTTTCGATTTTATCGATTTTCATAAAGCTGCTTTTATGGGCGGCACATTCAGTGGCAGAAAGTTTGCGGCTCTGTTACTCCAATTAGAGCACAAAAGCACATCTACACGCTGGCGGAGATGAACAATTTGGCTGCTGACCAGGTGAAGCCAAAAACATTTCTGGCATTTCAATCGCATTTTTCATTGACTCGCCGCTTCAACGGGCGGCCAAAGGGGAGATTTTGTTTGGTATTCGCTTCATAAATTGAGTTTTTACTTTTCTCCTCCTACCGACAATATTCCTTTGTCGATGCATCCGACCGAAAAATAAATTTCTCTATGTATTTATTCCGTTTATAATGGCGGACTGAGGCCATAAACAAACTAATTCTGTGGGCTTCTGGATTCGAACCGACCGGATGATTTTATTAAACTCGCAAAATATGAGGTCAAAAGTTCAATACATTGTCAAAAAAAAATATAAACCTTGTTGCCAATTTCCTAGGAGATTTCATTTTACAAAATACGTCATGAATCATATTTTGATATCTACATAATGATGCATATTTTCAAGAAACTGTAAATAAAACCATGCTTGCAATAATCAACAATTGATTGTATTATATTTTCTCAGAAAAGCTGAGTTCTTGGTATTTCATGACCATTAAAATAAAAAAATGTTTAAAAAATAATTTATTGATTTTTTCATAATTGATTTTCATAATTGATTTAATCATAATAAATGACGCATGATGTATTAACAAAAATTGTTTAATAACTATTGAAACTCTTTTATTATATTAAAATACCTTCAAATGATAAATCCTGAAAGGCGGGTCAAAGCTTTGAAATATAATCCCCAGGGTCTCAATTAATCCACTCGGTCAGTAGAGCACTTTTAATGAGTGCCACTCACGTATAAGAAACTGCAGCTGCAACTTAAACTCGACCCTCGACCCAGTTCGAAGGCTCAAGTTACTCATCCAAACTTATAGGATGACACTAAAATAAGAGCTCTGCTTTGCGACTTAGTAAAAACTTTTTAATTACAAGGATCAGGACAATAAAAGTTTATGAGGCGAAAAGCTCTGCCCTTCCCCGCTTCCCTCTCTTCTCTCGCTGTGTAATTTCTGGCAAATAAATACCAAAAGCGTGGCAAAAACTAATAAAACTGAACTCAACTCTCGGCTTCCAACCGTCATCGTAAAAAAATAGAAACCAGAAAATCGAGTTGAAGTTGAAACGCTTAATGTGTGTGCGGCAAAAACTTGGCTAATCCCTTCAAAAGCGAAATAGCAAAGAGATAGTCAATAAATAGGGAAAAATGAGACTGTTGCGCTTATATTGGATTTTTTGGCACAAAGTTTTGTAAATATTTTCTCGGACGAGCCAAAGGGCCTGGGAACTTTGGTTATTGCCTGTGACAGGCGGCCAAACGAAATGGCAAATCGATTCCGATTCCGATGGCAAAATGCAATCTCTGTCTATCTCTCTGCTGGGGCTAATATTCAAATGAAATTTCAGTGCATTGAACCCGACGAGAATCAGCAAGTACAAGGTGTGAATTTGCCAGCCAAATATTCAAGGAGCAGGAGCAAGGAGGCGTCGCTGGCAGGATGTGAATTGGGCGGCGGCAGGAAGCAGCTTCGGGCCACCAGCCAGATAAATATAAACACGAAACTGGAGCACAGGCAAAGCTGTAGCCGCAATAACTGTCTTGGGAGATTCAATTCCCCCCAAGGAAGCACACCAAGTGCACTGATAATAATAAGATTCGTAAATTGAAATTAACAAAAAAAAAACATGTAGACCACAAAAAAATATCCAAGTTGTTTATGCAATTTTATATCGTATTTCAACACCTATCGACTTGTGAAAAAATGTTTAAAATCCGACCATTCATTAAAAAGTTATAAGCAAATAAATTGCGCTCTTACAAGCAGTAAAAGCATTCGCTTTACTGCTCTCTTTCACGCTTGCTTTATATAAGCAAGAGGGAACTTGTTTTAAAAAAAGTAATTGACAAAAAAGAAGGGTGTTTAAAATTTAAAAAGTAATTTTTACTTTATTTTGATATATCTTAAAAATAAACCCCTACATTTTTTCAGTGTACTCAGTAAAGAGAAGTGTGGAAGCAGAGTAAATTCGATGCAAAGGCATTTCCAGAATGACAGCGAATAAAGCAAATGCTCGAGATGCTTGCAACCCTTCAATCTACCCAACATACAATATCCCACCCACACTCCCCCTGGTAATTCCCCGAACGCACGGAAAACTTGACAACTTCACATTTCTGGGAGGTCTTAGACAAACTCTCGCACACACGCTTACACACACAGAGATTCCTCACTCAAAATCCTCAAATGAATTAAAAAAGTTAAACTCCCAACTTCCAACCCCTAACTCACATCTGAGTTTGTGCTTTCTCAACTCTTCATTTTCCTCATAAAGTTCTGGATATTTTTACTTCTGTGCTTATAAGACATTAGCCAGCTACTTTGAGGGCAGGAAGTTCCTTTGACTTTCGAAATTTAGTGTGAGTGTGTGTTTGGGAGGAATAGTTGGAGATGCACGTTGGATGGAATAATGTTTGCAATTAGTCAAAACTGCCAGGAATCTTCAGAGAGATGAGATAGTTGTGCAAAACAGGGTTATAAAAGTAGCTTAACAGAACTTTATCAAAAAGATACAACGGGGTAATTATACGGGTAATTGGGGAAATTATCAGATTATCACATATGAGAAATAATCCTCAAGATTAACACTTTTAAAACCATTTATTTATCAAGTGAGTCATTTGATTATTTAAAATATTGTTTTGTGCTAAATTGTATTGCCAAAAACTATTTTGCTTTGCATGCACATTTTGCAAAATATTTTTTATTATTACACCTTCATTTCTCTGTTCAGCCATTCATAAAGTTTTCTGCTTATTTGAGCACTATTTCCATTTGCCCGACGACTATTTGTTCCAACACGTGAATTCCTTGTGACAAATACGTGATAAATTCGTTGTAGCCTCATCAGGCAAACACGCGCGACATGAACGTAGTTAAAGTCTGTGACGGTCTTGAGAGCTCTACAAATGCGCTTTGTGACGAAGGATGGGGAAAATACTGAAGCAGTGAGTGTGTTCCTTTTGCGAGACAGCTACAAATTTTCATAGCATATTTCATGCTGAAGCTTACTTGGCTTGGCGCCCTCTTCTCATGCCAAACAAATGCTGGTGATAGAAAAAAAATAGAAAACGTCAAAAGAAAGGAAAACAGATTTGTTATGCTTTGATAGTTTCTATGGCAAAGTTTTGATAAAGTAAAATACTTTTATGGAATTTTCAGCTTTTCGCAGCAAATTTGCTGTATCCAAACTATTTTTTCGAGTTTGAAGCTAAGAAACTGGGGTGTATATTTTAGGGAGTATTATTTTTATGCACAAGAATAAAAATAAATTGCATTCGCTGATAAACAAGTAAATTAAAGAGACATTTAGATGTTCAATAATTGAGAACAATATTTATTGGTTTTATTAGCGGCTTTCAAATGATATTTTTGTTTTTGTGCAGCACAGACATTAATCCCATTCTTTGATGGAGCAAAAAAACATCACGTATTTTTTATAATTGTCTCTAGAGAGCGTTCAATGCTGAGATACTTAATCACGAGGCATTTTTTTATTGCAATTACAACTACTCGAATCTAGAACAGCGTTCTTTTTGTGCAGTACACTTCCCCTGATGAAGTAGTAATTTGTCTCCACTTTTTCAAGTAATTTCTTTGCAACTACTGCCTCCAATTGAATGACTGTCCAAACGACTGACAAAATGTCACGCTGCGATTGTGCCGATAGCGAAATCTCGTTCTCATTCTCATTTTCAATTGGGTGGGCAGAATTTTCAATGCTTTTCCCCCATATTTTCCTGCTGCATTGCGCCGGTTGCTTTTGTCTCAAGTGCATTGCAGTTGAAATTGTGTCTAGAGTGGGCTGGCTGCCTTGCTGCACTTGTCGCAAAAAAGCAGAAAAATCAACAACAGCAGCAGAAGCCAAAACTGAAACTGAACTCGAGTGAACTGGAATTAAATGAATGGAAGACCAGAACGACGCTCCCCAAACGGTTCTTCAATGCAATGCACTTTGCTGATTATTATTGCAGTTTGTATCCCCTCCCCTGGATTTTTTACCCAGCTGTAATCAATTTGACATAGATTTTTTTTAAATCAATATATGAGTTTGTCACGATTTGACCAGGGCTAAAAGGCCTCTCCATTTCCTCCTCAATTAACACAGTGAGCTGAGAGATGCAATAAAAGCTCAAATTTGCTTTTTATCCACTCTGTTTGCTCAGCAAACAAACAATTCGAACAAGCAAACAAACTAACATTTCGTTTTCTCTTTCCCAAAGTTTTATATTCAATTTGGATTTTCATTTCTTGCATTTTTCAAATGTTTCTCGTAAATTGCAATTTATTTTCGCTGCGAGGATAATTTTCAAATACCTAATTCTTTCGTGTGGTCTATCAGAAAATATTTTCCCACATTTGCATCGATTGTACAAGGCAGCTGGGCTGCCGGAAAATTGTTCACATGTCCATATTGCATGTTCAAGAGAGCTGCTGGCTTGGCTGCCGTTTTTGCCACCGTGCCACATAAATTGCATTTTTCAGCCAGGCCAAAACATGTTGCTTTCGTTGTTTATGGGGATTGGATTCGGCTTCAGTTTTTTGTAGGTTGGGTTACAAAAAAAATTGGAAACTTATAGCGGAACATAAATTTGAATATTAGTTTTTTATAATATTGCTAGGAAACTAATTCGGTTTTTTAATTTAAAAAAAGAATTGTCTTTCTTTTAATTTCTATCTTTATTAATTATTTTATTGAAATTGAAACTGAAATTCACGTGGAGTTCCGAATGGTTTGCTCTATTTTTGCAGTGCATAAACTACGCTTTTAGTTTTTCTATTTTTTTTCGCCGCCATATAACAGCTCTCTTGAGACTCTCTTATCTGGTCAACACTTGAGTTTTATTTTGATTTCATTTGCGGTTTCACTTTGAAATGAGGCAAACAAAAATGTTTGGTTTAAAAAACTGAGTGATCTCTTTGATGGATGTTTTATCACAAAAACCATAAGAGGTTTGATTTCTGTATTTTTATGAACGGTTGTCTTTATAGTTCTTAGCCATGTACTTATAAATGAGGAAACTTTAAAGTATACTTTACTATAACTTTTCCTTGCCTGTTTTTCTCTATTATTTAGTTCCAGAACTTCATTGTTTGTTATGAGTCTTTGTATTTCTTGATATTTTGAGTTGTTGCTAAAAGTCATTGGCCCAGAAAAAATCCTATAAAATCGGGGTGTTCATCATTTGTTCTTTTTTTTTACTACCCGCTGTTTGTTCAAATTTTGTACCACGCTATCTTCAAGTACCCGATCTAAAATAAACATGAAAAGTGTGCATATGACCCTCGCGCTGCTTCAACGCTTTTTTTTTTTTTTTTGGGGCGTATACACTCTCTATAACACGGCGAAAGAGGAGATATAGAGAGAAAACGAGGGACAGCTGGTAAGAAACCAAGTTGAGGAGAGAAACCCAGCTGACTGACGGAAACCGAAAGTAATACATCTGCTTCTCTAACGACCCTACCGCCTTATAGGGTCAGGCAGCGGCCCTCTCTCTCGAAATAACCTTAGCAAAATGCCTCGAGGCGCAATCCACACATCCTGAGACGTTTTTTGCGTTGACTTTGGCAAGCAGGTCACGTGAGCAAAAGGATAAAAACCAAGGGGAGCTGACAAAGGGAAATCCTAGCAGTTCGTAGGGGTGGTCGTCCTGTAAATGTGATTGCTCCAAAAAAAGAGGGGGCGTAGACAACTGAAGACCGACCGACCTCCCTCTTTCTCATATCATAAAATACAGAACAAATTTCCTTGATTCTTTTTGTTTTTTCTTTCGCCCGCTCTGTTTTAGCGCTTTTTCTTGGCAATTGTTTCAACGTGTTTGAAATATTTTAAGCCCAAAGCCCAGGGTCTGGGCCCTCTTTTGTTTTGTTTTGCTTTGGGTCTTTTGTGTTTACGCATATTCGGCTGATGCATATAAAAATGAAGTTTCTGCGGGGTTATAAATACGAAAAATGCTCTTATACATACAAGCATGAAAATCAATATTTGCGCCGCGTCGTCGTCATCAACGCCACAGTGTTGGGCTCTTTTGATACCCATTATTTGTAATATTTTCGGGGAATATTGATTTTAGTATGAGTGGGAATATTAGTATTAAAACAATAATATTTTTAGGACTTTTTGAGGATCTTTGGATATTTTATATTAATTTGTAATTCAAAGATACATAATCTTTACATTATCTTCGAAGCATTTTGACTTTAGATAAAGTGAAATAGAAAACTTTACCTATTAATAATATTCGTACTATTTTTTGAGGATCTTGAAGTATTTCAAAATGATTAGGTATCTATCTATTATTAAAATTCAAAATATTCTTCCCAAAATAGATCGAAAATAAAGATAATTTTATAAATTTAGTTCATTTTTTTTAGTAGGTATTCCTTAGTTGATATAGATTTGTTATACTGATTTATTATTACATTTATTCCTCCTTTATTTATTTTATTTTCTGTTTGCCTCGAAAGCAGTCAGTCAGAGTAAAAAACAGAGTCAGACAGCAGCAGCTGATAAGCCGCTCGATGCGGATGTGAAAATGTGCATGGGAAGAACCCTAGCAATAAATCTATTTACTTCCACACATCATATGTATATATATTTTAATACAGCAATATCTGTTCAAATATGCTTTATATATTAAACTGTAACTACTCTTGAAAATAATTAACGAATTTCCTATCTCTCTTTCATTTCAGGTTGCGATAACCCTACTTTGACCGAATCAAAGGTGAGCTGAACATGAAGTACTAATGGAAATGTGTTACCTTTTGTTGGTTTTTTTGTTTTTGGGGCTTTCCTTTTTGACACTGCCAAGTTTTTGTCACATGGCCGCGGGCGATTTTGAACTTGTTCCACTTTGGCAGCGGGAATTTTTGTGGGGGCAGCTTTATCTTTGCATTCATCTCTGTCTATCGGGGCTATTCTTTTGCCCAACTTCTCCAATTTTGCCCCCTCCCAACGCCCAGATAAAACGCGAAATATTCTTTTTTTGGCCCAGAGTATTTTCCTTTTTTGCTTGCCAGCTGTGTGCTCAATTCAAAAAAATGAGAAAAAAATAACCAAAAACCTGATGGAGCTAGAGATGCTGGAATATAACAGTGGATACTCGAGAGCAACTTGCTCCAGTTCTTGAAGTGGAGTCCAAAACGAGTTTTTCGGCACTTGCCTGCCGCCTCACGTACGTAAATCATTTGAGTTGAGTTAGGTCTGGTTTTTTTTTCTGATAGTTGTTTAAGCGAAAAACAAAAAATACAGAAAACAAGATCCATAGGCCTAATACCAAGGTTTTCCAGCCAGTATATTCTTTATGACCGCATAAAATCCGTTATTATATCTTTGACATGCTCGTAACTGGTAATAAATTTCTATGCATATCCACACATCTAAAGCTAATTGACCAATCCGAAGCAAAATGATTTCGTTGGAGGCTGAAAGAGAATCGTAAAAATAAATCACTAAAGCTATATCTTGAAAGTTTACAGCTTAGCGAATGTACATTTGGGGCCTGAGGAAATAAACTTTACCAAAGTTCAACTTAATGGAATCGATTTTTTGCAAGTGATATCGGGGTATTCCTTAAGGTCTTTAAAATAAAATTTTATCATTTACTTGGTAATTTCCAAAAAACTTCAAGTACTTTATTTTTTTCTTTTATATGAGGTCTGTTTTCTATCAGGACTGTCCTCTAATCGCTTCCAATCTTCATAAGACGGCTTGTTGCAGAGTGTTTGTTTTCTCTGTTTTCTATTCTCGCTGACGGATTTTAGTGGATAAATTGAATTACCATGTTGGCTGCGCCACACGCAATGCAGCTGTCAGGTCCGGCTTTAGCTTTTTGTGATGTTATGCAGCTGAGGCAAGGGGGAAAGTCATCGATGCATTGCCGCCAGTACTGCCAACGTAAACCCCCCTCCTTCCTCATCAATTCCTTTTGGTTTTCCAACGATGCATTCCTTGGATCTTTTGTTGTATAATGTGGAAACGTGTTCGAATCACCTGGGCCACATGCTGGGCGAAGTAGGAGACGGCATAAACAATTCAAGTCAATATAATGGTAAATTACTGTTCGATATTCATGGGGGACTTCCCTTAACTTAATGTGGAAAAAAATTGTGCATTTCTTGCAACGTCATAGAATTGTTAACAAACTTTCTGTTAAACTTAAAAAAAAATTTTTTTTTTAAATCAAGTTTTTAAGATTTTTTCCAACAACAAATTTGTAATCCATTAGTTAAGGTTAATGGTAAAATATATTTCACTTTAATATTGTCAAGAATATTAAGTAATGTGTAAAGTATTATTTTTGTGACCGCTGCTGTTTAAAGGTAAATGGATGGATGAATGACACACGCGACAAGTAGCCAAGCGCATCTGGCGGCCGGTTGGGTGTACGATTTCTGGGGGCCAAGGGGACTGGGGCAACCCTTCAATGCCGCCTAGACAAACCCTCGACACGTCTCGGGTCTCCGATTTCATGACTAATTATACGGGAACGCATGTGCCAGCGGGTAAGGCGAGAAGGTTAAGCGCCTGCCCTCCCCCATTCCCTTTGCGAAATTATGCGGATTATATTTTTGTTCTTTGCTGTTTTTACTTGCGATTGTTTTTTACCTTTTGCTGGGTGAGGCCAATTTCTGTGTTTCGCTTTTTCTTTCTTTTTGGCCATTAATGAAGTAATGGAGCCTGGCCTCCCGACAATTCTGGTTGGGACAGCAGGGGGGTTTGTTATTCGGTTTCATGCATAAAATAGCTGCACATAAGTGCAAGCTGCAAGCTGCAACTGCAGCATGAAATGATGATGAAAATTTCATGAATTTGCAACGGACCAAAGGAGCGGCGGCGTATCCTCATCCCTTTTGGCCCAGTTGTGGGATGAAATGCAATTTTGCGCTGCCAGTTTTTTGAGTGGCACAAACAAACGAACACATGTGCAGCAGCAGAGCACCAACACATTTTCCATTTTAATAGGTGTAAAGGCCTTAAGTTTATAAAATTATGATACTCAGCAAGTGTGTCCCAGGCACTGGGAGAATTTGGTCAGTTTGAGTTAAATGAACTTTAATCGGAGCAGGTCAAAGTGATCTTAAAATGTGCATTATTATGCTTCACTTTAAAGGTGAAGGTAATATATAAATTAACTAGGCAAATTGTTGCGTTTCAAAAAGATTTATTTTAACTTGAACTTTAACCGGAGGTTATAAATGTACTTTTCTCATGTAAATACCATTTTGTGTGTAAAAAAATTTGTTAACAAATTGATCATGTTTACTATTTTTAATCACATCCCTCTTAGTTCAGTATAATAGACAAAATTAAATTTAACCGAAGGTTAAAGTTCGCTAAAAGCTATCTGAATTTCACTACCATTCAAGTTCTAACTTCTTGCAGTGCAAAATCAGTTGCCTTGGCAAGCTGTTGCATAAATCAACTTCAGCTGTGAACGTGAGTGTTTGTTTTTGCCTGTGCTACGGGTGCGTGTGTTTGTATTATAGATAACTCAGCGTTAAGCGCCCGCTTGAAACTATGTCAAGCCCTCCTCCCAGACACACAAACCATCGCACGGCAGCATCGCACTAATGCCGGCATTAACCCACAGCTGCTGCTTCTGCTGGCTGCTTCACCTGAAGAGGAAGCTTCGGATGCTGCCAGCCGGGTGCCAGTGCCATCGTGTGTGCTCTATAAAATATTTGTTTAAACTTGCACTACTCCCACTGCTCCCCTGGCAGCCAACCAGCGACGCCAGCATTTTCTGCATTTTCTGGTGTTGATAAGCACACTTTGCTCACCGGCCACTTGAGGCGGCAGCGCAACGGGTAATCACAACTTAAATGAGTAGTTTAATTTTGTTCAAGTGCAGCGCTAGAGATTCATCTCATGAGTAGAAGCGAAAACATAAACAGCGGCAATCATATAATACTTAAAAAAACAGTCATTTCTTCCTTATATATATTTTAAATATTCCCTTGAACGGACAAGAACCTCTCTTGAACGGACAACACAAAATATTTAAAAATATCAATAAAATTCCTAAACAAACCACAACGATTCTTGATTTTTTAAGAACATTTCTCTCAGTGCCTGGCATAGGTAGACGTATCTTTGATGTATTTTTCCCCCTGTCTTCGGTGAAGATATAGAGTCAGAGACCTGCTTTATGACCAGGCCGAGTGGCAAGTTGCGTTCCCCGCTAGAATTGCTGTTTATTGTATTCCTCTAAATTGTTGTTTATGTCTGCATTCAGACAGCAACTGCAGTTTGCAGCTGCAACGGGCCACGGCGATGGCAACTTGCAACTGCAGCAACATTAGCAGAGGTAGCAACGTCGACTCGTCAACAACCTGACAATTTGTGCCTGTCTCCATGCTGCTGATGGCAAAGTGTGGCCGTTGTTGTCTGTTTCAGACAGTTTGTAGTGTAGTGGCAGCAGCAATAAAAGTGCTAAAAAGTTTCATGCCCCCAGACTGCATCCTGTGCCAAAGCCCTACTCCTGCTGCTGCTGCTGATGTTGAAGTTCCTGGTGCCCACAGAACATTTTTTAATCTTTTAAAACTGAGCTGCATTGTTGTTCTGCGCTCTGTGTTGCTGCTGCTGCATTTGAAGTTGAGGCAAAAAAGAGCGGAAGAATGCCGCAGTCCACCCCTAAGAACCGGCTGAATCCCAGTCCCAGTCCCCCTGGTTATGTCCTTGCATATTCCTCAAGCCTAATGAGAGCATTATAACTTTGTGACAAACTTTGCTGTGCGCCACCGAAGTTGGGGAAGCTGGCCAAAGTACAAAAAAATAGTAGTTGCCACTGATGCTAATGAGAGAAAGAGTTCTCGAGAGCACAAATTGTATTCATTAAATATGAAATACGGCTTAAATTTTCTTTGGCAGACTACAACGGTTTGAGTGTTTTTCGCAAATAAGCTGCGAGAAAAAAAATAACTTTGTTTATTAAATTTTTAAAGCCATAAATTCTCTTGAACGGACACAAATCTCTCTTGTGCGGACAACACTCTAAATTTACCAAAAAATAGTTTTTTTCAAATACCAAACGCAGTAAAATTCCTGAACAAACAACAATGATTCATGATTAATAAATGTAAATTTTCAGCGCATTTCAAGTTCGTTTAATGGCATTCTTAGGTTAGTTAAAGAATTTGTTTTGTTTTCATTTTTTCCTTCTTCCCTCTTGTTTTGCTTGCTTTTCTGCTTATCTTTCGTTTCATTCATAATTTCTGTCGCATATGTAACTGCGGGGGTTGCTTGGAGTGTCGCAGGATGTACCTGATATGTCCCTTGGGGGGTGGTGTTATGGGGAGGTGGGTGTTATGAGGAGGCAGTTCAAAACAGAACAGAACAGAACTTTGTCGCGTTGTCAAGCCTTTGTGGCTGTTTTCTATTTATGTTATGTTATGTTACCGCTACCTGACTGGGACTCCCTCTGACTTTTCCCTCCTCCACGCCTGATGTCTGACGTCTGGCTGGGCTTATACCACCACCCACTTAACCATTTCCTTCACCATTTTACCACCGCCCCAGAATGTCTGCACACGTACATAGAAATGACATCAGTGGCAGCAGTGGTGGAGCCTGAAGCTCAGACTGCATCGTTGAGTAGGAAATTAAATACTTCAGACGGATGTTTTTGGGGGGAAATTTCCGTATTTTGCCTCGTTTCCATCAGCAAAGTCTGTTAAAATTTGCCTCCGCTTCTTGCAGAAATATTCATATTCGATGGAAATC